AACAAAAGTGTTGCGTTTATAATTTTGTTCAGTGTATATATATAATTTTTTAATTTATTTTTTTTGGGTGAAAGTCTGCGGGACAAATTGTATCCATAGAAATATAATGGGTCCATCATACTTTCCGAAAAATGAGCCATTGACTGCTCTGGCCCGTAGGGTCATCTTAATGTAAATAATTTGGAGCATAGTTAGTTAATGTGGCATTTTGGTCCATTTCTGTAGGAAAAGAAGTGGAAATGACTCTATTTTTGGTTGGATCAGGTTTTATACAAGGTCATTTCCCCAGTAAATGAATTTCTGGAGATTGAACAGGAGCTCTCCTGCTCCGGGACTCAGGGTTAAGTGACTCTACTCAGACTCACCACTGGGGAACTGAACTCACAGCGCTGTGATGTCAAATCTATTTCCTGAGCTCTGCGCTGCTGAGTATTCAAATCATCCGTCTGCTACTTTCCAGCAGTTTTAACACACAGTACACTAGAGCTTTCGATGTGATCCGGATGAGTCTGGGTCAGTTGGTTGGTTTGTCAAAGTGGTTTTCATGAAGGAACCACACTAAAGTCCTCTTGTTTCAGTTGTTTGGTCAAAACCTCAGTTTGATTTTACCCTCCTTGTCGTTGATCACACAAATATGTGCAGATAATGGGCAAAATTGTACCTTCAGCTTGTCACTGAGGCAGTTCCACTAAAACTATTGCTTTGTATTGTGTCTACCCATAAAGGGTGTATATTAATACCTTAAGGTACTAAATATATACGAACAATCAAGTTAAAAATGAGTATGCCACTTTTTGGGGGCAAATAGTGACATTCTTCAAATATTACTCTGATAATCAAACAAACGTGGCTGCCAGCAGCCAATAAAATTTCAGCAGTTTATTACGTCAAATCTGAATGACCGATCATTACGAAAAATGGCAGATACTTGGAAGGCGCCTCAATTAAGCTGTGTATTAAATTTGATGAGAATCAATCACAAGGTGGCGCTATAACGCAGTTTTTGCCTATAAATCTGGAATCTTTATTAAGATCAAAATTAATGTTTCTTCTGATTCTGAATCAGTTGATCATTTGCATATCCATCTCTACGTGTTCTCTGTGTGTCTATGCTGTTTGTCCGATTCGCACAAAATTGGGTATCTTTAAGCTATAATTCACGATTCGTGTTTTTTTTTTTTCTAATTTGTTTTTCAGTGTACAATGTGAACAGAGACCTGCAACGGATGGAATCATGTTCAAGTGTGAAAACGACCTTGATACAGTACTTTCAACCCGTTTTACTTCTATAATGTGACATATATCTGAACGAAACTTGAATTTAATACAGTATATTATAAAAATGGTCTCAGTATGACTGTTTCGGTTTCAGCCATAACTAGAAACCCATTTCGTTGGTAATGCAATTTGGATTAAAGATTAGGCAAACATTATTTGGTTTTATTTAGAATAACATGCACCGATGAATCATTCACAACACCAGGAATGTGTATTAAAGTTGCTGTATGTAATTTTTTGAGTGTACTAAAACATAAAAATACAATAATATTTTTGCAGATATTTAAGAAACATGCTCGTATGCTCGCATATTTGTTTCTCTGAAAAACAATGTTACAGCCAGTTATTCTGCTTTGAAACGTGTGTTCCGTGTATGAACGTCTGTTTTTGTTTTGGTCTGTGTGACTCCACCCACTGCCAGTTTACCCAATAGTATCACACTGTAGGAATGAGATCACTAGTAGTGCATGAATCAGACTATGAATCACACAACATGTTTGTAGCTATTAAAAAGATGCATTAAAGAAATCCTATGCAACTAAACCGTAGTAGTAACCATTTAACTGAAGATCTAGCAAATCAGACATCTACTTGCTCGCATTGATTCCTCCCATCAGTATTCTGTGTTTCTACCTCCTCCTTTTCATCGAAACCAAGTATTCAAAGTGCAAGCGTTCACCTCTGAGTCTGTGAAGCGGCATCAAACGTGCTCCTCGACCTCTCGGCTTTGATGTGTCGTTTTTATGTTTCTTAATCACTGCAGACATTGTCATCAGTATTTTATCCCTTTCTCTGCAACTTCCTGCCTCTGATCAATTAGAGAGAGAGAGACCTTTAATGTTGTGATGTAATTCACTTAATCAAAACTGATTAAGGTCAAAAAGCGAAGCTTAAACTGTCTGGAGACAGAATAATGAAAGGACTCGATGTACTCTGCTTTCATCCCTTTTTGTCCACTGTTTTCTTTATTGTAGTCTTGTAATTTAATTTTCCTCCTCTTCTATGTCTGTACACTTCCACAGATAATAACTGCACTCACTGTTAGTTTCGACAGCAGCTAAATGTATGGTGTGGCTTTAAAAAATGTAGCCAAAACAGTCTATTTTCTCAGTGTTAATAGCTCTATTTACCTGCATTTTAAAGTGTTATAGGTGCACTCCCAGTGCAAAGGTTGGTTTAACAAGTACGTGAGCAGCATTATGATGTTGTCCTCTAAAATATCTTATTTTAGTGCATCCTTTGCAGACAAGGCAATCCCAAAATGCAGTGCAACAAGGCCAGTAAAAAAAGAAAGCAATGTAATACTAAACTGAGTTTAAAATACTAAATACTAGTTTAAAATAGGTTATTTTACCTAATATCTGAAGTAATATTTATTGTTATGCATATTATGCAAATTCAATTGCAGTTCTATAAACAAGAAGCTGTCAAGGGCTTGGGTAGAGGATGGAGCGAGGACTCAGTATTGCAGAAAAAGGGTTTTTAATTGGTAATAAAAATAAACAAACAGAAACACAAACTACCCTGTGGGGGAAAAACAGGCTGGCAAGGCAAGGCAGGATCTGGACACATCCAGGGATTGACGATGACGAACTGACGCAGGACTGCAAACACAAGGAGCATAAATGGAGAGCAAATGAGGAGGGTAATGAGGGACCACATGTGGGACAAATTAACTAATAATCAGGTAACAAGATGGGACGGGTCAAGACAATTGACATGAGCACATGGCACACCGAATCAAAGACAAAAAGCCATGTGCTCACACAAAACAAAACACAAGCACATGGCCAGCAAAACAAAATCACAAGCCATGTGCTAGAACAAGAGACACGAACACGCAGCTAATGAGAAAACTCATAAGCCGCGTGTTCACACAAGACAGCAAGAAAAGCACGTGGCTGAACACAAACCGCGCGCTTCACAAAACACAACACACGTGGACAGAAGAGCGCATGGCCGAGCGAACTCGAGACCGCACACTCCCACAACAGACAGAACATGGAGCGTGAGTGTCCGGACCCCGACACGAAACTCAAGACATGAGTGCCGGGATCTGAACACCACGCTCCAACATGAAACAGTACACGCAGACAAGAGTGCACGGCTCAAGCACACTCGAAGCCGCACGCTCACATGAAAACAATGACATGACGCGAGTGTCAGGGCTCTGTCACAAAACCATGAATTACACCAGACCGAAGTGACAGAACCCTGACAGAAGTCTTCCATCTTCCATCCAAATCTAACATTTTGTTAGTATAAGCTATATAATTTCCAGAATATACATAAAATACATAGCATAAAAAAGTTTTGATTTCATGTATATTTATTTTAAATAATTAATACAATTTTATGTTTATATTATTTTATTTATTTTTTGCTATTTTTAGAAGTTCTTAGTTGAATTCAGTACATACGCAAAGTGCATGCTGTCAGATGTGTCACTGGTTTCTGTTTTGTCAATTTGCAGAATATGCATAAAAATACATAGCATACACAATAATATATATAATAGAAAACTTGGTTAAATTGTAATTATTTATATTATATTTATATTTTTCTATTTTTTAGTATTATTTGAATAGTTTTGCTTTTTAATACTTTGTTCTTTTTATACTCAAAGAACAGACTATTTGCAGAATATACATAAAAATGCATAGCGTTCAAAATTTCAAGAAAGAAAGGTTGGGTAACTTTTTTTTATTATTTTATATGTTATTTTATGTTATATGTAAACTTAATTTTTTTTTTGTTTATTAAAATCTATTTTTTAGAAGTTCTTCATTGAGTTCAGTACATACTCTGACTGATGTGTTATTGTTTATTTATTTATTTATTTTTGGTCACATAGTGCTGAGTAGCTCTGTTCACAGAGAAATCTCATTGGTCCAAAACCCATCAAATAAGCATATTGCCTGATCGGCTAATGTGTTGCTTCTCACATTTTGCTTTCAGAAAGGACATAACATGCCTGTCACATCATATCTGTTTAGGAAACCTCAACAACCCTAGGTTAGAAATGTTAGGTTAGACGGGATGTGTTGTTCGGGACCAAACATTATTTCTTGTGCTAGTGTGCTCCTGTTACAATCCTGAAAGCATTAAAAACTCTGATAGAATGCCACCTCTCATTAGCTGTTTGACATGATCTGTTTGTGCTTACAGGGGATGGCTTGAGCATTCTTCTTCAATGCAGCCAAGTTATTATTAAGCAGCCGTCGTTAACAGATGCTCTCGTCTGTGGTCTCTCTGTTCATCAGTCCCATGACGTCCCTGTAAATGAGCCGAACATGCTAACTACTGATCTAACTGCGTGAAAACACCTGTCTGAAACCTTAACCAACTGGTTTGCATTTGTTCCCCCTGACTATCGCAGACCTTTTTGGCTTTGCTTTTTGCTTTATAAAAACAAAAGACACCAATGTGTAATAAATATTACATTATTTAATAATTAAATGAATGTAACAATTAATCCACCATATAATGTAGTTCATTAGCGTTAGGCTACACAACTTTAAACTGAATTAATATGCGGTCATTCAGGCTTTTCTACAGTGTGACTCATCCGATCAAATTTTAGAGTCTGAATTATTAATTTGATAAGTATTTTAACCTTAATGAAAAAAGGGGGCTTTAGGGTACTCATTTGTGTTCACTTTTACTCTGCGCTTCAGCTTTGAAATTGTAAATTAATCTCGACAACAGCTGTAAACCTAAAGCCACTCGTGCGGTTAAAGTAATTTCACTTTTCTTTAAATGAAATACTGGATCCAGATGGTGGTGGGGAAGTCAGTATCTAACCATATGCAGCTCTTCTAATGAAGAATGTTTTCATTAGCTTCCGTAATCAGTTGTTGACAGTGATCAGCTCAGATCCACCTACAGTTTCCTATTGACTTCTAGCGTCGTTCATTCCAGGCTGAGGTCAGATGAGTTAGTAAGCGCTGATAATTGTGGCCATTAGCGGCTGTCTTGTGACAGTAAAGCTGTGATTGGGAGGTTGATTAGATACATGATCGGATGTGTTGTGTTAATGGCTGGGCCATGATTGGACACACTAGGTCATCGACTCTGATGGCTAGACGTGTTAAAAATCGGTGTGCATGTGTGTGAACGTGTGCTTTGGATGTGTATGGAGAATGTGCGTTGTAAGTGGCATATTATCTATATACAACCCATTTAATTCTGAGTGAAACAGAATATTTGGTGAAAAAATATATAAATTGGCCATTGACTTATTCCCCTTAACATTTTTAGATTTTGCTTTTATTTTATTTTCATGTCTTTTATTTATACATTTTTGAAATTTTCTCTGTATTTAATTGTATTTTATTTTAGTATTATTTTATTTTTTTAAAGAAATAACATTGACTTATTCTCATCAACTTTCAAATTTTATGTCTTGCACTTAATTCTATCTTTAATCTATACAGTATATTTACAATAAGACCAAAAATGTGTTAGTGTAACACTTATGCAATAAGATTCTATTTATTAACATATTGGAGTTGCTAATATGAAACATGTATTACATACATTTGGCTCCAGTCATGCAAGGTATTTTTTCCTATATGTGTGTAAATGTAAGACTAGGACAGCAAAGGGCAATAAGTCACTTTCTGGCTGTAAAGCCCACGTAGCATTTCAAGTACAGTGGATTAATGTACTATTGAGACAAGGCCTGCAATTAAAGACAAATCCAGACCTGCAATCAGTGCATCCTGTGTCTCACTTATGACTCATGCCATATAATGAAGGAAATAAACACAAGTGTGTGAGTGTGTGTCTATATATTTATGTTTTACTTTACTTCATTGGCTGATATGTTTTCTTTTATTATTTCTTTTTGCTCTTTTTTGAGTAGAAGAAGAGGTTGATCTGTGTCACTCTTTTTTAATTTCAACACAAGTCATGTTTCCAGAGCTGATTAGCTCTTTAATTAAGTAGTTCACCTAAAAAAAAAAAACTGTTGTTATAACCACCAATGTTGTTCCAAACCTGTATGCAGTGGTGGACGAAGTACACAAATCAAGTACTTGAGTAAAAGTACAGATCCGTATAATAAAATATTACTCCAGTAAAAGTACTCAGTTTTCAATTTTACTTGAGTGAAAGTACAAATACATGATTTTTTATGTACTTAAGTTAAAAGTACCGATAGATGAATGTTTATTTTGCAGTTTTATATAGGCTACTTTTATCATTTAATTTTATATTAGCATATATTTTTTTATATAGCATATATATTTTTCCTACTGCTCAAAATACCTGGGATTTTCCCAAAATAACCAATAAGGAAATAATGAATATAATAAGGAAAATATTAGATTTTCATAATGATTTTTTTCTTCTCAAACCTAGTCTGTGGTGTAAAAACACCCCGGCCAAATGCCCCCAGAGGGCATCACTACCCACATTGATAATTACTGTAGTTACCATGTTCTGAACATCACATCCTTTCTTTTTCCCTCAGATGTAATCTATCAAGGTGGTTGAATACAAATATTTGGACTTTATTTTTTTTTTAAATTACCTCAATTTAGCACCAGCAAGCTCGTTAGCTAGACAGTTAGCATCAGCTAACATTATTGACTTATTTTCAGCATGGTTATGAATAAACATTTATATTTGACTACTCGGCTAGTTGATCCAGATACATAGTAACTTAGGCGATGTGTGCTGACAAACAATATAAAAACAGATGTCACATAGGGCTAATTGCATAGCATTTTAGTAAAACTGCTAACGTTACAGCAGCGGAGAAGATGAACGTGCATGAGTTATTTGATATAATCTGTGTTATTTTAATGTTTTTTTGACCTAAAACACAGAGACTCTGATGTTAATGTGTCTGCATCAAGCATTTCAGTGGGCTTAAACAGATCACCCTTTACAGCAGATTTAGTTCACAAACAACTGACAGCTTTGACCTAAATATGATTTTCAGTTACAATTAACAGTTACAAACAACTTATTTTAGCAGCATCAGTTGCGCGCTCACAAGATCTCCCGGTTGTTACTTGTGAATTCAGTTCACTGGAGACTCGCACTAAACGGATAATTTGACTCGAGAGCAGCTGCAATCGGATCATTCTAATTCATGAATGAATCGTTTGGTGCGATTTGCGAACCGATTTAACGGGTTCATTGAAAATAATCAGTTCGTTCATGAATCAGACACCGCTTCTGCGTCTCGGAGCACGTGATATATTATAAGGAGTAACGATAAGTTTTATGAAATGTAGTGAAGTAAAAAGTACGATCTTGTGCTTTGGAATGTAGTGAAGTAAAAGTTACTCAAAATAAAACTACTCCAGTAATGTACAGATACTTAAAAAAACTACTTTGTTACTGTCCACCACTGCCTGTATGGCTTTCAGCAGAATCTTTAGACGACACTTTTTCTATAATGGCCATGTCTGTTAAGATCCAGAAAGACAAAGAAAATATAAAATGATCATAGAATGATTAATGTAGTCCACACTACTTGTGCACTATATTCCAGGTCTTCTGAAGAAGACACACAATAAGCTTTGTATGTGTAAATATACAGTGCCGGTCACATGGACTGATTTTATGATACTTTTGCTGTGTTTGTCCTTTTCAGAGTCTTCAAATATTCTCCTTTTGCGTTCATTCCTTAAACTTCATAAGCAGAATTTATTGATTATGATCTGCAGTTCCTCAGTTGTTTTATAGATCTATAACCCTGCAGGCTTCAGGAAGTCTAGCTGTTTTGTGAAGGACACGTCCTGGTGGGAACGAACTGAATTTTTGGCTGTTTTTTGCCATAGCTCTCTGCGGTAACATGAGTTTGCGCTCTGAGACAGCAGCAGATGATGGATAATGTTGTTGTTGTTTTGACTTTTAACATCCAAGGACAGCAAAACCATTTAGGGGCTTTATATTTTTAACTTGTCGGAGCAATAGCATAATTTTATGATTTGTCATTCTCTACTGGTTGTAAACTGATGTTATGGTTAATGTCATGTCGTAAAAGTGTTTGGTTATTTATATGAACTTATTAAAATGGGTTTTCTTGCACCTCTGTTTAGGACCACAGTGTCATGAGATGGGTTCAGTACACTCTTAAAAATAAAGGTGCTTCACGATGCCATAGAAGAACCTTTTTGTCTAAATGGCTCCATAAAGAACCTTTAACATCTGAAGAATCTTTCTGTTTGACAAAATGTTCTTTGTGGCGAAAGATTCAAATTACAGATTACAAAAAGGTAAGAAAGAGGTGGTTCTTTAAAGAACCTTTGACTGAATGGTTCTTTGTGGAACCAAAAATGGTTCTTCTATGGCATCGCTTGAAGAACCTTTTGAAGCACCTTTATTTTTAAGAGTGTAGTGTTTTCTCTGGATTTATTTCATTTTATTTTATTTTAGCATGTTTGTTTATTTATTTATGTACTGCATTTTTCTCTGGATTTTGAGTTTTTCCTCCATATTTCTTATTTTATTTCATTTTTATTTCAGCATGTTTAGTAAAAAAATTTTTTATTTTTGCACGTTTTTATTTATTTGTTTGTTTGTTTAGTTATGCATTTTCTCTGGAGTTTAAATTGTTCTCCTCAACTTTATTTATTTATTTATTTTAGTTTTGCATTTTATCTGGATTTTGAGTTTTTCTCCAACTTTCTATTTTATTTCATTTTATTATGTTGCATTTTTTTTTTAGTTAGCATTTTGTTTTTAATGTTAGTTAAAATCCACACTAGCAATCATCAGGGCGGGTCAAATTGGTGAATATTCAAATATGGGTGGTCATATGTTATAAACTCAAAGTTGTGACTTCTGAATGAGCTGTTTTTATTGTTTAGTTTGAGTAAATTATCTGGGCAGACTCTCTGTTTAGGTGGCATAAAAACTCTCTAACCTGCAGGCTGAAATGTGTGTGCTGGTGTCTGTGATGTGTGTGTCCTCATTACATGTCCAGTCCTGACAGCTTCACTCATATCAGCTTCTGCTTCACCATGTACATCATCCACAGAAAGTCTGAAAACTTTGTCTCAGAGTAGACAAAAAAACACTCACTCTCTGAAGGAAAGGACTATTTTTTAGATTCCGAAGCAGGTGGGCATGGAAACCAGCCATTGATAAAATGGCTGAAATGTAATTTTTAAATGTTATAACTCTCATGTCATCTGATCTGGTATCTGAAGGGTATTTACTGTTGTTTTAGGTAAAAAATAGTACAACTTTTTTTATGAAGTTTTCCAGTTTTGGGACTGTGTGTTAGTATGGGAGTCTGTATTTTCTCAGTCGAGACAGTTTGAACATTCGTCACTGCACCAATAGAGTCTTAGTGTTAAAGGAGTACTGGGTGTACAGACATTCTTCAGTATAGAAAGCCTTATCCAGACAAGTATGTGGTACTGTGGCAGTAACAAACCTCTTTACTCTAGAGACCCATAGAGTTTACTTCAAATGTCTGTGCCAGATGTGTTTAACAAACTTAATTGTCTTTGAACTGTTGTTCTGCCGTTTAATACCTTGTATCATTTGCATACATGTACGATTTGGCCGTTAAACAGACCCTGCAGCTAAAAAGTTTTGAAATAATTTGAATTTATAGGATTTTCCAAGTAAATTGTGTGTTCTTGAGATTTTAATGGACATTTCCATTAACCCTAAAGCACAACACGTCATTCAAAATGTCAAAATTTAAAAATAAAAATAAAAAAAGAGAAGGCTGTCAGACATCAATATTGAAAAATTTCTTCATTTTAACAAGGTATATTGGACTTTTCTTAGTGTAATTTCTAGGTTTTAATTCTGAAGTTTTTCAGACAATTTGTAGATTGTAATGTGTAAGTTTTTCAAGTATTTTGGGGGGTTTATTTTTAGGTTTTTAATGCAATTTGAAGGATTATTTTTAGTTTTTTTACAATTAGTAGATTTAAATGTTCAGAAAATGTCCAAAATTTCTTGGTAAAATTTTTTAGGGTTCTCAAATAATTGGTAGATTTTAACGTTGTAGGTTTTTCAAGTATTTTGTGGGTTTTTAGTTTTTCAGATTGTTTGTAAATGTAAATTTTTAGTTTTATCAAGTAATTGTTTTGAGTTTTTAGTAGGGGTGTAACGATTCACTCGTTTTATCGATGCATCGATCTTAAAACATGATTTTTAAATCGTGAATCGTCGATTTCGGACAGTAATCGACATAAAATGCTAAGAATCGAATGAATCACGATTTCTATAGCGATTCAATGCTTTCAAAATATATACACATTAAATTACTACAAGCAGGAATTAATGGAGACCTTGAACAGTGTTCGTGCCCTCGCATCTCTCCTTCACGCGCTCAACTATTTACCGCCTGTGACTGTCACAGGACTGCGCTCGTGCTCAGTTCGTCTCACTGGCACATTTTTTGAGCAGCTGATGTGTGATCTCGCCTTAGTACTCGTGGCCAGTAATGCTAAAGTGAAGTAGTTTTGCTTTTTTATAGTTTTTCAATGGCTCTCGGTCATACCAACGACATTACCTGAGCAGACGTAGGTTGCGCATTTATTGCATGGACGGAGCAAAAATGTCAGTGTCTAAAGCATATGCACAGCATTAACAACAACCTTGAAATAAGAGCGCGAGGTTTATCTGATAATCAGATGCTTGAAAGTAGTATTCGTTGCTATAGCAAACAGACATCGGGCGCGTTTTCTTTCAGAATCATTATTCGTCGATGGAGAAGAAAAGTTAAATACTATAGCATTTTACTTTATGAAAATGAGATGAAGTTTTCACACTGAAAGAGAAGTGATCTCGCGCTCAAAGAACTTAAGAGGTGCCAGGAAATGCCTTATATGGACAAAGGCATCTATCTCTGCAGCTAATCTGAATAAAAAGCAGAATAAAACGGTGAAACATTAAGACAAAAACACAATAAATAAATAAAATGTATGAATGATGCAGTGCTAATTGACATATTATTTATTACAGTACAGAAACTATAAAGTATATTTTATACCTAATTCTGTGCAGAAAATTGAAATAATTGTTTGTAGTATATAAAACAATCATAAAATTGCCATTAGGAAAAAATTATAGATTACAAATGATTGATTATTGTCCAGCAGTGTATTTGATTTCTTATAGCAAATTCAAAGTAAGATAGGAAAAGTCTTATCTTATAAAAAAAATATATATACTGTATATAATACATTCATAGGCCTACATACAGTTATTGTATTTGACATTTCTGTCACTTCTGAAATGATGGCTGCACCCCTGGTGAAAATGTTTGCATATACATAATACTTTTTAAAACTCTTTTTTAAAGTCTTGGCTTACATAAATTTCTACATATGCCATGTCATGCCTAGGCATCATTAAACTAGCATCTTAACAATGGACAAAAGTGTTTGTTTTTTATTTTTCTCTAACCCATGGTTCTCTAACCATAAAGGCTGCTGTGTAATTTGCCCCCTGATTTAAAGAATCCTGTGAATGCACTTAAAGAATGCAGAATCGAATCGTTATAATCGAATCGAATCGAATTTAATTGTGAATCTAATCGAATTGAATCGTTCTTAATTTGCAAAAAAATCGTTATTGAATCGAATCGAAAACCTATGAATCGTGAATCGAAAGATTCACAGCCCTATTTTTTAGGTAATTTGTAGGTTTTTCAGAAAATTCTTAGATTGTAATTTGTATATGTTCCATCAATTTGAATTCATATAGATTTCTGGTCATATGTAGGTTTAATTATTTGGTTTTTCAGGTCATTTGTAGGTTTTATCTTTAGATTGTATGCAATTTCTGCATTTAGTTTATAGGTTTTCATGTAATATGTCATTTCTACATTTTCATTTGTAGGTTTTCAGGTAATGTGGGAGGTTTTATTTTGTAGTTTTCAGGTAGTCAGGTAGAGCTAAACTGGGAGATAACATAATGGGTTAAAAACACTGTAAGTTTAGACTAAACAATCAGTCATTGAACCGCCACTTAGTTTGGAAGAGAGCTTACCAACCCCAGTTTGCTTTTT